GGGTCCCAATATGCCCAAATATCAAAGAGAAATTAAAAATGCATGCCGTGGAAGAGTTCAGGTCTTAGGTCTTTCAACCCTGAAAGTTTAATGTGGCCATCTTATGTATGGTTATGAGGGATCAAAAGTGCTGGGAAACTCGTGTCAGATATCAGATTATGTACTTTGAGACCCTGTAACTCTGAATGTTCATAATAATAATAATAACAATAATAATAATAATATAGAAAGTTTATGCATGAAAAACAAAATCAGCTGACTCTGAGGGCTCAAGTGGGAAGCTCTGATTCAACACTCACTTTGCTTTTAAAAATGTCCAGAAACTCCAATAAACTCTTTGTATACTTTTTATGTGAATCAATTGTACATTTAGATAAAAGTTAAAGTCCTGCATTCACAGCGTTGCTAACTGAACTATTTTTTAACATTAATGCTTTGATACTTTTTACTCTCAAAGTCAAAATAAGAGCTGTGAGCTGTGTGTGTGAAGGCTGTTAACAAGTCCAACTCAACTGAGACAAGACAGTAGAAAAAGCATTTATTTTCCAATAAGCATACAACTGAGCTGGCTCACCTCTCACTCTAATGAGCAAGAAAGCTTTTTTTTTTCTTGTTTTTTTTTTTATTTTTAATTTTTTTAAATGGACAGTCACTCCTTACAACAGAGAAATAAAGTCTACATGGCCATGATGTTTTCTAGCCAATTACGGTGCTTCATTAAAACAAAAACAAAAAAGATAATTTCACTTAATTCTTTGATAAAAATATACATTTTCATACCATAATATGGGATTCCTTAAGCCAAAAGAAAACAGCTCTATTTCTTACACAATTAGCTTTACATGCCCGCCACCTGCAACAAACAGCGAGGAAACTGAGGAAAACGGGTACAATATCAGAGCGACGCCACGGATCACAGTAAAACTCATTCACAACTTGGCACAAGTCTGTCGTTTCTTTTAAACATAAACACACATCTGTTACAGAGGAAATGTGAAATCTTTATATTTAAGTGGTCATCCCCGAGACACACATCTAGTGGTACAACGTAAAAGTAGTCTTCTAAACCACAGACATGATGGATAGATTTCAGATCTTTAAACGCCACTTTGAAAAAGACTGGTCGTCTCGACATACTGTCTGAAATAAGAGATTAACATGCGCACCCAGTAAACCTAAGACAAGTCTCAATTTTTAAAAAGGAGTAGTCGGCCATCATACGGTTGCTCCCTTTATGCCACGAGCTTGCATCACAGCACTGACAGTACGTTCATATCTGCATCCAACACAAACCTACAGCCAGCTTAGTGTTAATAAATAGATTCCAGTCTTAAGCAGCGCATCGCTAATAGTGCACTTATGTAGTCTTGAACAAATGGAAAAAGTTCACGCGAACGCCCGCTTAGAAAGTCTTACAAACAAAAACGAAACAAAAGATGGTTTTTATTTTTTTTTAATTAACCATCAAAGTGTCTTTTTTAACGTTCAAATGTCAGATTCTGTTCTGCAATCAGTTTATCGTAAACATTGTAATATTGTACAGGTGCATCAATGAGCTGCTGCCCACGTAGGGTGATTTAGTGTAGGTAGAATAGTTATTAATAAGGAGCAACCTCTAATCACAAGTCTGGTAATGAAGTTATATTTGGGAAACTGCTATAAAACACTGTTTACACAATCCCCACACACTAACTTTGTAGTCCTCATCGGTTCTACATTCACAAATATTGGAAAGCAAAGATGTGCTTTCCAATATTTGTGCCAGGCTGTGGCTGTATTTAGCATGCAGATATGAGAGCAGTGACTTTTCCTTCTTCCATGGGTATATTTAAGCCATTACCTCCTTCTGGATTACGGTTGCTACTACATTCACACGCCCTACACTGCAGAGTCTGACCTCCAATATGACACTTTTACATCTTAATGAAATCTTGATGTTTTGTTTTTTTTTAAATCTAAAAGACATTTTTAACAACCGCAAATAAAAAGCACATTACAGTATTTTACAAAGATTCCAATGGCTTATTTAGGAGTAAGGCTGGAATTTGCTACTTCAACATCCTGAGCAAGGACCTTTGTCAGGCCAAACTACAAGTGAAATAATGACACAAGTGCAAAAACGGCATGCCTATTTTACCTTCATTGCACTTCCCCCATTCCCTCAATAAGGCAAATCGTGTCACCTGCATAGTCATGCAATAAACATCTAAAAAGGTCCAAAATAGAAGAATGTTCATTTAACCCGAGGTGTAACCCAGAGTACTTCAGTAATATATCGAACACCGGTATCTGCGCTCCTTCATTTCAAACAGCCAACAGCTGGCTTGAGATCAAATCTGAAAGAAAAGAAAGAAAGAATTGAAAAGTTACAACATTTCTTGAAAAAGAGCCGCAGAGAAAAGTATTTCTTTATACAAGCCACTCACCTGCTGTTGCAATTTTTGGTATTCTGTGGACTTAGGTCGACGTGCAGCTCTGGACTGCTTTCCTTCCAAAACAAAGGCGATTATCTGGCAGGGGAAAAAAATGATTAGGCAAGACTGGTTTGGACTGCTGTAAGAAGTCTGATTTTCAAAATAAGGATAGCTAAGCTAGACAATGTTAGAACTGAGTGAATTTAGAACATAAATGGACAACTAGGT